GCTCTTGAGCGCAAATAATGAAAAAACGCTCGCATTGCTGTAAACAATCCATTCTTGCATGATGAAAATGGCAATCCAAATTTCATTGATCGCGATGGGCTCTTCCAGTATCGTAGAATTTTACCTTTTCTCGCTATATTTAATGTTATGAAGGAAATTTGAAAATGTTATCCCTACCTTATATTCATCGAAAATGCCAAACAACAAATGAATTATTTGGTATTGAAAATGCCATTTCAATACCCATGAATTCAAACGCTATCGAACTATGATGTCAGTTTATTTTTACAATATGATTGGTTGGAGTTGTGACGGCTGGGCAGCACGGCGCTGTTGCCAGGCATCTATAAAATCCTTGAATTGATACTATGTGCAAGATGGTGCGAGGAATGCCATGATTCGAAATACCTCAGTAGGTGATTATAGTTTATTGGTAATTCACTGCTGATTACATTCAATTTACTCTGAACTCCAAAGTATTCCAATGATTTCAAGATAAGCTGGGATAGAATGTGATGCAGGCATCTAACAGTAAGACGCATTTTATATAGTTAGTTCGGTTTTACTTATGTTGAGATTCCGTTGACTAATTGTTGTAATCAACAAATCGAACAAAGTTACTGTATCTCAAGCACTCATTCCCGGAAAATTTCATCGCTAATCTGGCAACTATATATCTACAAGAAAAATAGATGATAAACTGGTGCTCACACAATGTTTCCAAGTTGAAAATATCTCATTTCCTGCATAACGTATCACTGTTCCTGTTTCCTGAAATTATTGACGAGAAGTCAGTGATGCTTGTACTGAAATCAATAAAAATAGAATGAAGTAATTAATTGAGAATTGATTGATTCGGAACTTGTTTCTTTCCCTATGGTAGACTGGTAAAGGTAGGTACATATATAATAAGTGAGTACCTAAACTTGGAAGTACTTCACTGAAATGGTTTAGAAACTGAAAGTCATGAATATCTGCACTGTAATTCAATACAAAATGAAATGTTACTTACTACTACAACTAATGCAAATTTTCAATAACACGAATTTTCACGTAAGTAGATATTAGTTTAGCTATCTAACAGCATCTGTATCATTTGTTGAAATGAAAAAAATCGCGCCATGTCTGATCGTTTGAATTCGCTCGTTTGTTTTGACGTTTTCAATAATTTTTTATACGATCAATTGATGGAAAAAGATTCAAAAAATCATCTCAAGGTATCCCAGAGCAATATATTTCAAGATATATTTTTTCTAGAAATGAATGGAATGGCCCATTGAAGATAATATGATGAAAATATGTCCCCCATAAATTGAAATTCCACCTATTTCTGCGTCATTTCGAATAAACATTCTCCCAGAAGATATTTGTTCTGTTTTTTGCATTGCCCTTCTATTTGCTTTTTGTTTCAACTCGTATTCATATGACGATAGTATGTCCTGAAAAATAGGAGCAAATAAATCGCTGTGCAGTGGATTTGGCTCAAACCGAGGAATGGCACAGGTAGGTTTTCGAGATCTACTATTCAATTGGTATCGGATAACACAATTTTTTTTATCGCTTGGAGCGCACGAAAGGGAATTCCTATAATGAACATCGTGCGTTCCTAGGGAGGATAGGGACAGGAGGTAGGTATTGGAATTTTTTTTGAACCTTTGGAGATTATATGTTGTTGGGAATACTTCCACAGGCAATGAATTCCAGAGCCTAGCCGTTCTATGGATGAAGGAGTCTTGATAAAGTGCTGTTCGACATCTTTCGATGTTGACAACGAAAGGATGTGCTGACTGGGCTTGTCTGGTTCGTCTGATTGGTATTGCTAGTGAAGGGGTGATAGCAGAGATTTCCGAAGAACATTTCCCGTGGAAGTATCGATAGAAAAGTGAAAGGTCGCCGACCTTTCTACGGTGTTCCAATGATGTCAAAGAGTGAGTGAGTGTGGCGTCACCCACCAGGCGAATGGCTCTTCTCTGGATGGAATCTAAGAGCATCAGCGTATGTTTTGGTGCTGAACATCATATGTGAGGACAGTATTCTAGAACAGGCCGTATCTGCGCTTTGTAGATCATGAGAAGCTGTTGAGGTGTAAAGTAGCTTTTCGCACGGAACAAGAATCCGAGTTTTTGTGAAGCAGCTTTTGCGATGGATCTGACATGATTATCCCATGAAAGAGTGTTGCTGATAGAAATATCGAGCATAGATATGGTGGGCTTGGTGGGGATGGTGGAGCCAGACATTACAATATCGGGCATACTGAGTTCCGCCTTTCTACAGAAAATGCAGGCTTGAGTTTTGGTGGCGTTGAATTCAACTAGGTTGTTTGTTCCCCAGGCTGTGATTTCAGCAAGATCTTCATTGACAGCATTGACCTGCCTGCGCCGTGAGTTCTCAGTTGCCTGGGAAGAAATGGGAATTCTGGAAGAGAACGCAGTATGGAGGGTACTATCATCTGCAAAGCTGTGGATGGGGCAAGTTGTTACTTCCAACAGATCATTGATATGAAGCAGGAATAATGTTGGTGCCAAAATTGATCCTTGTGGAACGCCGGAATTGATGCCAATGGTATCAGACGATACACCGTCCACCACCACGTGAAGCGATCTGCCTAAAAGAAAACTCGATAAGAGATGGCATAGCTGAGGTGGTAAGCCGTATGATGGTAGTTTGTGGAGGAGTCCTTCGTGCCAAACACGGTCGAATGCTTTCGATATGTCCAACGCAACAGCGGATTGTCATAACTGGGTGACGTAGGCAAGTAGATCTCCAGTAGATCTTCGGTGGCGAAAGCCGTATTGTCTATCATTGATGATTCCTGAGCTCTCCAGATATTTGATATGCTCAATATTGATGGCTTTCTCCATCACTTTGGAGATTACTGATAACAGGGCAATGGGCCTGATGTAGTTGTTGGGAAGGTGTTCGTTCCCTTTTTTGGGGATTGGTCGGACTCTAGCTGTCTTCCAGCATGATGGAAAAATACCCGATCTGTACGAGATGGTAAACAACTTGCAGAGAATCGGTGTTAATTCTGGTGCACATTTTTTGAGGATAATGGGTGGAATTCCATCAGGACCGTTAGCCTTATTCGTTTTGAGACCGAGCAAAATTCGTCGGATAGTGCGTTGACGGAAGACGATTTCAAGCATTCGACTCTCAACGGGTGGAATGTCTGGCGGCAGTTTTCCTTGGGAATCTAAAGTAGAGTTTGCTGCGAACATCTTTGCAAAAATATTTGCTTTCTCCTGCGATGTTGTTGCTAATGTGCCGTCGGATTTGGACAGTGGTGGAGATGAACTATTATAGTCAAATTTCTTCCGACCGCTTTAGCAAGGGACCAAAACGAACGGGAGCCATTGGGGCAATCTATGAGTTTCGATCTTATCTTGGCATTGTATGTTTCTTTCAAAGCATCTATTGTTTGGCTGCAGTTATTCTTGGCATCAACGTATTCTGCTCTAGTCGCGAGGAATTCCTATCTGTTTATCGAATTGCGAAAACAAGTGCAAATTTCCGCACAGGGAAGTGCAATTTTTCAATCATTCTGCTCAGGATAGTGATTCACACAGGTGCCGTTCAATGAGCTACAATGCTTTTACTTTCCATTGGGACATATATCATTTCTTTATCAGATGAGGGTCGACATTTGTAGCCGGCTCTCCTACCTCAGCCTATTCTTTGTAATCTGATCCTGGAGTATTTTTCGAAATTTTCAGCATTCATCTATTCTGCACGTTCATCTGAGATCCACTGACAATCACTCTAGTCATTCGAGGGAAAAAAAAGTCAACCTCGGAATGAGAGACGATAAGCTGTTCTAAAGGTTGTCTCGAAAGTCTCATGAAATATTGTGTCTGCGTCGTAAGTGATTTCAGGTCAAAGGTCACAGAATTTGGTTTTTTGCTATTATCTAGGTTTCTATAGCTTCAATGAAGTTAACTCCTATTATCAAAATTGTAGGGCATGGAATGTTCGACAAATTTTATCGAATAATTTTTTTCATGCGGTCAACCGTTTTTGAAATAGAAGTCGGAGAGAACGTATAGCGCTCAGCCATACATACTGATGTAATGCAAGATCATCTATGAATCTCGGTCAATAATACCCTGTATGAAGTCATCAAATCACCGAAATATCATTGAGAATTGATATTTTGTATTATTCATCAATTAATGTACTGCATAATAACAGTTCTCACATACATCCAAGCAATGAATTTTTGGTTATGCGAAATCTGCTAAGTCCATTAGCACAAGTTATCCTTTTTCAATTATTCTTCAATATGTTTCTCAAATTTTGCTTGATTTCAGATTACATGAAAACTCATTCTCCTTACTACAGTGAGACCAGATGACCTTATCCAAAATGTCACAGCGCTTATAATTTCCCAATCAGAAAACTAAGAGAAAAAAATCATGCGATAAAGTCATCAGTGACACCTTATATACGCCTGGCAGAAATAATTTCTCCATAAGTAAACAGTGTGCATTCTGTGCATGAGCATTTCAATGAAGAAAACGGCGACGTTGCCATACGCTTCGTATTGCTCCTCCTTCGAGCGCAAAGATTATCGTTTTCCACACGTGCCATACTCGAGTAAGTGGGGCAACGACGCTTATCCATTACACGGTTACTCTGAAGAAAGGGCATATTTGCCAAATGTTTTCTGTCCTGTTTTCAACATAGAAATGGAAAATACCTCTTGATGGATCTATCCCTCCGTCTTCTATCTCAAAAACGGTTGAGCACACTGAACAATTTATCAAACAAAGTTTGTCGCAAATTTCATGCTCTTCGATTTGCAAAATGATTGAGCTATATAAACCTAGATAATTGTGGAAAAACGGATTTTGTGACATTCCACCTTGAATATCTTAGACTTTTGAGACACCTTTCAGAACATCAAAATGGAGGTGTATACGAGTTTACATCTCATTTTCTCTCATTCCGAGGTGAAACCTTTATTTCACTGCCGTAAATCCATTTTTTGTTATTTTCGACAGGTCATCGACAAACTAACCAAGTCTTTCTCGAACGGCTTGGTGCACGGACACGGATACTTCGAACAGAGGGCCTTCTCCATCAAGCAGTTGTCCGTGGAGGTGTCTGATTTGCACGTCGGCGCAGATGGTCGACTCACTCTGACCTGCATATCCACCATACCCGGATACGTCCACAACATGGACACTTACGCCGATAAGAGGAGCTCAACGGTGCAAAGTAGGTGTATGTTTCATGGTCTCAAACAGTGGTCGTCAACCTGTTGATAGCGAGATACATGTGGCTCACAATAGGGATTCAAATTACCACTTTTTTTTCCGAAATTTGAATCACCATAGTTGCTGAGGTCGTTGATATAGAAGGTAACAATCAGCCCCTTCGATGACGTGTTAGGAATAGAGTGCCTACCGTTTAATGACATTCCATTTTATCCTTCGTTAGTTCCTGTCCTAAAGTGCATGAAGTAGTATATACACCTCAGTACTGAAGTGTTTTGAATCCCATGGCGAGTTATTACCCTCTCGTTGGTCAAGCTATAAACTTTTCGTCTTGGGATTTGAAACACCTCTTCAGAACCTAGGTGTATAATGTATTATTACGTAACGAGTCTGGAAAATAATGTATTTTTTGGCGAGACCAAAATTGTTATTAATGTGACAAGAACGACACACTCTCTATGATAGTCGGGTGTGTCAATTCATAGTCGAGGCCTCAGCAACTACAGACCGATCGCACTGCTATCTATTATTTCAAAGATCATGGAGAAATCTATCAACATCGAGCTCATGAAATACCTGGAACATTCTGGTATTATCAACGATAGGCAATATGGCTTCCGTCATCAGAGATCAACTGGTGACCTGCTCGCTCACGTGTCACATATATGGCGACAATATTTCGAAAAATATAGTGGAACCTTAGCCGTGGCACTTGATATCTCCAAGGCATTCGATCGAGTTTAGCACCACGGACTCCTCGCCAAGCTTCCATCTTATGGCTTGCCTCCCCAGCTATGTTCTCTGCCAGCTAGTTTTCTCTCAAATAGGTCTCTCCATGTAGTGGTCGACGGAGTTTCATCTGACTCTCTTATCATAAATGCTGGTGTTCCCAAAGGATCAATTCTAGCACCAACACTATTTCCACTCCATATCAACGATTTGTTGGAAGCAACTTCATGTCTAGTACACAGCTTCGCGGATGATAGTACCCTCCATACCGCCTTCTCTTCCAGGGCTCCAATACCAGCCAAAACGAACGAGGAAGAAATGTTGACAACATAAATATGGACTTGGCAAAAATTCTCGAATGGGGATCCAATAACTTGGTAGATGTCAATGCGAATATAAAACACATGCCTTTTCTCTAAAAAAGCCGATCTCACTGTGCCCAACATAAGCTTGTCAGGAGTAACAATACCTTTGAAGACATCCATTTCGATGCTTGGTATTACTATCAGCAATAACCTTTCTTGGGGAAATCACGTGAGATCAATTGCTAAAAATGCATCGCAAAAACGTGGTTTTCTGTTTCGGGCCAGGAGCTATTTCACTTCCAGTCAGCTGCTTATGATCTATTAGACATAGATCCGACCTGTCCTGGAATACTGTTCCCATATTTGGAGTGCAGCACCCAAACATACCCTGAAACTGTTGAATTCTGTTCGAAAAAGGGCAATTCGTCTCGTGAGTGATGCCTCGCTCACAAACTCGGTAACTTCTCTGGAACACCGTAGAGAAGTTGGCGATCTGGCTCTATTTTATAGATATTTTTATGGACGATGCTCTTCTGAAATATCAACAATTGTTCTTTCCTTGGCAATCCCCGCGAGATTAACCCGTCGAGTTGAGGCTTCGCACCCCTTCGTGGTCACTTTGGAGACCTGCAGAACATCTCTTTCCAAAGACTCATTCGTCCAACGAATAGCGAGGCTCTGGAACACATCGCCAAGTGAGGTGTTCTCCAAGGAGAACACCAATTCCAACCTCATTTCTCCTGGTTCTCCGATGTTCTCTAAACATTACAGGATATCCTTTTTCGTGGAAACCAGAACATACAAAAAGCACATGTTGATAAGAACTTTATTTCCTAGAATATAAAAAGGAATCGCTTCCTGAATTTTTTGTACTCACCTATTTATTCACACCCTGTATTGAATATATTGTATTCTCGGAATTATGTTCGGCTTACTTTCGTAATCACATCGCAGGAAGTATAACATGAACAATAGAGGTCTTCCACAAATACTTTCATTGTCGAAATTAAGAAGAGACCATAACCAGTTTTTCTCACAAATTATAGGCAACTGCTGTTTTTTTTTTCATTAGTGAAAGAATGCCACAATCTTATTAAGAGGATCCTTATTCAACCTTCGCATAAATACAGTTCTGTTCTCAAAAAGGAAGAAGATTATGATTATAAGGAATGATATAAAACATTGTGAAGTTCCGATATAAAGAGATCTGATATCAAGAGTTTTCCAGCAGAGATTGAAACTTTATATCACTTTGTTCCTCAAGTGTTTTAGCCTGATCTCATTACGGAACAGTGGAGTTTGAAGTTTCTTCTGATTTATAAGATATTCCTTCCCACCTTATGAATCGTCTAATAGCGTTTCGAGAAATTTGTAGATTATTCAGATTGAAGGATTTCAGTAATTAAATTATCAATTCACGGCAAGTCTGCAATCAGGTTATTATCGAATGATTTCATCTTAAAAAAAATTCCCATTTTGAACAGAATCTTAGTAGATACCCAGATAGCACAATGTCATTCATAGAACGTTCATTCGATATTCTTAGAGAATATTTGAAGATTCTCAGAATATTCTCTCGATATGAAACAAATATTCCATGGTTGTTTTATGATGATTCGGAATGGACTGTTCTGAGAATATCCCTAGTATATTGAAGGAAGAGGAAGGAAGTTGAAATAAGCTTGCTCCGGTAGAGATGCGAACCTACTATCTTGTGATTGAATTTTCACGAACCTCTGAAACTTCAACCACTTCGCCACAAACCTTATTAATAAATAAAATGAATAGCAAGATGACAACACTGAATCAGTAAAAATAATCAGCATTGAGGCTAGATAATGATAGGTTTGACACAACGTACATTTTAAATATCAATATAAGAATAGGAACATCAATATCAATTATTTCGATACGATTCTGAATATTCTCAGAATATTTATAAAGAACATTCCCAAGACATTCGAAAAGAATATTCTGATAATATGTCATATAAAATATCCATAGAATAATAGCTGCAGGAAGAGAATATTCTATGATCATTCTCAGAACATTCTATAGGAATATTTCAAAATAAGTATATTTGAACGTTGTATTCATAGAATATTCTGTGCTGCCTGGGTCAGTCAGTGAAATAAACGAAAAAATTAAGTATATTGGTATGAAGAAGTTTTTCTAGAAAAAAAATTATTTTCCGTTTGAAAATATCCTTTTTTTTTACTGGTGGTTGATTGTTGTGTACTATATTTCCTCTTTGGCTAGGTATATAGGAGTTTCATAATTGAATTCTATATGGAAGACGATCGAACATCCTTGAAAATTGAATGAACCTGCTCCTAATGCAGGTAGAATATTCTCATTACACGGATTATTTGTTGGTGGTTACTTCACATATTTATTTGAGTTAATTGTTTCGGTTGCAGAAAAAGAAGCATGTTTCATTCGGATCAAAAGTGACTTTGTTTGAGTCGGAAAATTTTGCTTTCGCTCGGCTTCGCTCGCAAATGCAAAATTCGCTTGTCAAACAAAGTGTCACTTTTGATCCTAATAAAACAATCTACTATTCTCGACCGCCCAATTTTTCCCCTGTAAATAACGAACTGTTCGTGTGTTTCAGTCGACATAGAACTGACGGAAGGTCCTGTGGGAGAGGCCATCTCCAACGTCAACCCCAATTCCACGTCGTGGCGAAGCACCCTCAACGTTTCGCTATTTTCATTGTCGCTCCTGGCATCGTGTTACGTAGGGTGAAGGAGGTTCACACAACGCGAAAAGTAGGGTATTATTGGGTGGAGAGGCTGGTTCTTTTATTCGTGAAGTTCACAGATATTTTTCGTTATACAGAGTGGTTCAGATTCAACATTGACTATATTTTCACCAAAATATCAGGTTATTCCAGATTTTTTGGGATGTTCTCTCCTCATCTCTATAAAATAAAAATATGAGTATCATTTCAATATACGTGTAGTAAGGACAAATCAGATGATTTGCCCCAAAATATCACTGCGTTTGAAGAATTCTCATATCAGAGAGCCTTAAAGAAAAATTCACTAGCTTGTCAGTGACAATTTGTATTTAGGAAGGTTTGGAGCAGAGAAAAAAAACACAGAACATTTTTTTTTAACTAAAAAGTTTTTGTAAATTCAACAAAATCTGAGTGTCATATATCCATGACAAAATATTTTGTCACCGCAACAAATTTTTTTTGTCAGTTTTCAATTCAAAATTCATTTGGTGTAACTCATTAATGATTCAAATTAACAGCAGGAATTGGTTGAATAAACAAATATTATTTCGTTCCTATAAAACAATATCTGCTCTTATGAGCGATTCAGTTGATTGAAATGATTATATCATTCCATTCAAGTGACAAAATTTTCAATTTTTTCTGACAGTGAATATGTTAAAATAACAATTTATATTCTTGAATGATATAAAAAAATCCAATAACTGAATTTCAGAACCAAGAGAAATTAGAGATCAATTTCCTCAGTTGATTCAAGACTATTAGCTCGTATAAGCGTCATGAAAAATTCTATGACAGCCTAAATAATTATCATATAATCGGGTGTTTTAGGTAGGTATATGTATATAATGTATTTGTGAGTTTCGGTCAAAAAAAAGTAATTTGTTTGAAATAACAACATATTTCTTGATAGTGATGTGTTGAATCAACAAAATATAATGTTGTCATAGTCAATTCAATTTTGTCGAATGGAAGAAAAAACTTTGATTGGTTGCACAACGAAATGATTGTTGACTCAGAAAATATGATGTTGTATCTAGTTAAATCTTTGTCAAAATTAATTCAATTTTGTCTACTACACAAAATGCATATGATTGATTGAACAATGAGATAATAGTTAGAACAACAAAATTTGTTTTATGTCAACTATACATGTTGTTGAATGAAATGAAACTTTTGTTCAAGTCAGCAAATATTTCAATCAAATTATTTTGTCTCTTTGAATAGGTTACAATTTGCAATAAACATATATTTTGTTGATTTCGCAAAAT